AGAGTACAATCCAATGATCTTACCTCAAGACATCATAACATATTTCTTAAATTTATTTCTCCTATGTAACTGAAGTTTTGACTCTTGACCTGATTTCTTGGTAGTTAAAAACTGTTGTTTTTTTTTTCCCCTCATAAAGTACACAAGGTTGGGTGTTGTTTTCTGCCAGCCTGTCTGCAGAACATTTACATTTAAAGTGATTATTGATGTAGTTGGATTAAAACATGGCATATTTGTAAGTACTTTCTGTTTGTTTTACGTTATGTGATCACTGTTCCTATATCTTCTTGCTTCTCTCTAGAGACTTCTTATGAAAATAAGGCACACCAAAGAGATACACTGGTGAAAAGTCTCTGAGTTTTATTTTTTGTTCTTTTCCTCCTCCAGACTGTATAATTTCAGTCATCTAACTTCATCTTAGTTGATTCTTTGTTCTCCTTGCTCCAGGATGCTCTGGAACACCTATAGTGATGGTTTCATATATGTTGTTACAATGGGAACCTGCAAATTATTATATGTTGTTATTTTGTTTGGTTGGTTGCTTTTTTGTTCGGTAGTAGAGAGGATTAAAACTTTATCACATAGCTATATCTCCAGCCCTTTTTTACTTTTTGTTTAGCGTTAGGGTCTTGCTGAGTTGCCTTCTGCCTTAGCCTACTGATTCAGTGGGATTACAGGAGTGTTCCACCTTGCCTAGTGAATGTCTTTGTTGACTAAGTTCACATTCTGAGTTTTCTCAGAAATGGCTTTTCTCTATTTTTTTCCTATTAATAAGCCCTATTTCCCTCTTCTTTATTACTATTATTATACTGGGGACTGAACCCAGGGGCATTTAACCACTGGGCAACATCCCTAGTCTTTTTTCTTTCTTTCTTTTTCTTTCTTGATACCAGGGATTGAACTCAAGGGCACTCAACCACTGAGCCACATCACCAGCCCTATTTTGTATTTTATTTAGAGACAGGGTCTCACTGAGTTGCTTCGTTGAAGCTGGTTTTGAACTTGCAATCTTCCTGTCTCAGGTTTTCAAGCCACTAGGATTATAGGTGTGTTCTACTGCACCTGGCCTTTTTTTTATTTTTTAATTTTTTTGTATGTTTTATTTAGAGACAGGAACTTGCTCAGTTGCTTAGAGCCTCCCAAGTTGCTGAGGCTGGCTTTCAACTTGCAATTAAAAAAAATAATAATTTAAAAATATTATCCTGCCTTAGATTCCCAAGTGCTTATGATTACAAGCATGTTCCCCCTTATCTGCCTCTTCATTATTCTTAGATTTTTGTTGTTGTTATAGATATATGAGCATTTGAAGAGTCTAATGGGTATCTATATGAGTCACAGTCTCTTCTTTCAGTGTTTGAGCAGAAATATTTGATAGGGTTAAATTTGATTTCAGCTCCTGGTTTGAAGTTGATGGTAAAATTGAAACTATAGTGTTAGTGGAGTGCATCATTTTATCCTCTATTCAGGTATAAACCTTTGTTGTTTCACTAGGATCTTCAGTAATTATATTTATTTGGCTTTTTCCTCACACATGGACACAGATCTCTTTATGATGTTTTACATTGAGTTAAAATGTTTAGTGTGTCTTTAATCATGTATTCATTAATTTTTGTCTGCAGATTAATCATGTGTGTGTTTGTGGCGGTGGGTAGTAGGGATTGAACCCAAGGCCTTGCACATTGCTAGGCAATTGCTCTAAGACTAGCCTATGCCTCCAGCCAAGTCCTTTTTCATCAGGGTCTCCCTAAGTTACCCAGGCTTCCCTGGACCTTGGGATCCTCTTGCCTCAGCCTCCCAAGTAGCTGTGATTACAGGTGTATGCCATGAAGCCTTAGAGCACACCAGTACTTTTTCATGCCATGTATTGCAAAAATTTTTGAACTTTGTTGTTTGCTTTTTGCTTTCCTCTACTTTCATAGATTTAAATTGCTCCACTTATTTTTTAGAAATTATTATTATTATTTTTTGTTGGGAGCTGGCGACCGCACCCTGAAAATGGCGCTGGTTTCCTGCTTCTGCTTCTTTAGCAGTTAGAGTTGTTAGAGGTAAACAACTCCTTGTAAGGCTGTGGGGCTGGGCTCTGGCCTGCTTCCGCTGCGCTGTACCTATTAGACTTTTCCACGTGGTGCTAGTTCATTGGCGGGGCTGGGTACTTAAGCCAGGGCAGACCAACCGCTTGTGCTCTTCCTGTTTTCTTATCATGCTTCAAGGGTCCTGAATAAACTGCTGAAAGAAGAATCCTGTGTCGTGTTTCCTTTGCTGGCGAGGGGTCACGACAATTTTTTAATTAGGATACACTGTTTTCTATGTTTAAAAGGTATTTGTATTTGTTTTTTCTGTTTTTTTTTTTTTTTTTTGTGATGCTAGAAATTTGAACCCAGGGCCTAGTGTATGCGAGGCAAGCACTCTACCAACTGAGATATATCCTCAGCCCTTAAAAGCTATTTGTATGGGTTGGGGTTGTAGCTCAGTGATAGAGCAGCACTTGCCCGACATGTGTGAGGCACTGGGTTTGATTCTCAGCACCACATATAAATGAAAAGCAAAATAAAGATCCATTGACAACTAAATAAAGTTTTTTAAAAAAAGGTATTTGTGGCTTTTCAAATTATTCCAGTATTGTATTATGGTTTCAATGTGTGGTTTGGATTTCATGCTTGGAATAGAGAGGAATACATGGCATGTCCAGATAAATAGATACCTTTTGGTCCCTGTCTTGGTTATTAGAAAGATTGGAGTGTCTCCCACTGTTGTTCAATGCTGCTGTGTCATGAATCAGTTTTCTGTTCACATATGGGCACATGAGTGCTCTTTTCTTTTTCATCATTTGTTTTTTTTTTTTAAATAGAGAATGAGAGAGAGAGAGAGAGAGAGAGAGAGAGAGAATTTTTAATATTTATTTTTCAGTTCTCAGCGGACACAACATCTTTGTTGGTATGTGGTGCTGAGGATCGAACCCGGGTCGCACGCATACCAGGCGAGCGCGCTACCGCTTGAGCCACATCCCCAGCCCATCATTTGTTAATCTTTTTGTTAATAGTGTACTTTTCCAAATAGTGTGACTTCAAAATGTTTTGTGTTTATTAGTCAATTGATCACTTTATTATTCCAATGAGTTTAAATATTGTTAGATATTTATTATGCCTAGAAAGTTTATAAACTATTTTTTTCTTTTGTTTCCTCCCTTCATTCATTCCTTTTCTTCTTTTTTTTTTTTTTTTGTCCTTTTATTTTGTGGAATGATGACGGAGGCCCTAATGCACTGAGCTATATCACTATCCCTTTTTAAAAATCTTATCTATTTTACTTATTTTTTTACAATTTTGAGACAGGGTCTCACTAAGTCCAAGTCACTGGGATTATAGGCATGTGTCACTACACCTGGCATACATTACTTTTTGCTTTCTTAGGAAAAGGTTTTGTTATTGGTATTTTGCAATTTTATAGGTCCATGTGAGAGGTGACATCTCGATGACACTGAATCTTTCTAAGGACATGTACCTCTTTTTACCTTATTGTATTAGGTTTTGACATTCTACAAGAAAATTGTTAATGATTACCTATTCATGAATTATCCTTCATGAATCTTATTTATTTTTATTCTGGTTGACATACAGGAACTAACATACAGGCTTCCAGTGCTGGTCCCTTAGTGCAATCCCAAAGGATGTACTGAATTCCCTAAATAAGGAGTTGTAAAAAAGGTTTCAGATCTGATCTAACAGACCAGTTTACTAGAGATTCATCACCCAGAGTGTATTTGGGAGGCTGATGAGATAGGCCTCCTGTGACGAGCATGTCAGAACATTGTAAACACATAGAGTACTAACAGGACTTTAACAGTCCGCATTTTGTTGGGATAACCTGCTTGAGAATCCCAGTTCCCTCCTTGCAGTTAAGCTACTTAGGTCCATTCCAACAGTAGTTTCCAGATACCAACAAAGTTTTTTCTCAAGCATTTCTAAGAATATGCTGTCTCAGAATAGCTACTATTAAATACAGTACATAGTTGGACTTTGTTGTGAGAAGTGCTAGAGACCCAGAAGTGCTAGAAGAGAATGGGAGAGACCCAGCAGCACAGCCAGTGTTCCTGTTCTCCCTTTTTCTCTACCAGTAGATGCAATCCAGCATCAGAATTTCCGTGTGAGAGGATGTGAGCCTTGCTGGAGAGTAAGATGGAGTATTGGGAGGACATACTATCATATGAAATTCTCACAAAGTGAGTGCAGGTCTCCAGTGCTGTGTGTCTCACCTTCCTCCTGGGAATACCTGTGGGATATTTCAGGAGCCAGTGACCTTTGAGGATGTGGCTGTGAACTTCACCCTGGAGGAGTGGGCTCTGCTGGATCCTTCCCAGAAGAAGCTCTTCAGAGATGTGATGCAGGAAACCTTGTGGAACCTGACCACTATAGGTAAGGGTGACATAGTTTCCTCACTAAGTCAATCAGAGAACAGGTATCACTTGCTTATCAGTTCTGTTCCATGATCTAGAATATGGAAAGCCCATATTTTGGTGAATATACTGGCATGGTGACAGTATACATCAGATCAGTAAGACTCTAATAGCTTTTATGCAATGTTGAAATGAGTCATAATGATGTTTCTGGGTCTGCATTTTAGGAAAACAATGGAAAAATCAGGCCATCGATGATCACTACAATTCCAAGGGAAATCTAAGGTAATTGAACTCACTAGAGAAGGCAGTATCCCTCACAAATCTTGGAACAACTTATAAAAAATCATGAAAAGAAGGAAATGATATATGCCAAGGTTCAAGTTGATTTTATCTCTGTTTTCTTAAACAGTGCATACAGGTTGAGCATCCATAATTAGAAAACTCAAACTCCATTATGTTCCAGAATAGGCACCATCTAGAACACTGACTTGATATCATAAGTGACACTTTCTAATAGTTTATTATATACAAAGTCTGTTCCATACACAAATTATTAGAAATGTATGAAATTGGCCTCAAATGGGACCCATTTTGAAGATATCTTTCTATGTATATGCAAATATCACAATATCCAATCTGAATTTTGTTTTATGCATTTCATATAAGTAGTGCTTAATTGTAACTACATTCGATAAACATCTTCAAGGTTAACAAAATACTTGGAAAAGAGGTATTAAGAAAACTGCGCTGAGTGGTAGTGCACACCCATAATCCTAGCAACTTGGAAAGATGTGGCAGGAGATCATAAGAGGGAGGCCAGCCTCAACACTTTAGTGAGGCATGAGCAACTTCCTGAGAACTTATCTGAAAAAAAAAAAATTCTTAAAAAGAACTGTAACGTAGCTCAGTGATAAAGCTTACACAGAATAAAACCAATTCTTCTGGTAAATCATTAATAAACAAATCATTCGTATTTTCATTCTTTGCAGAAGTCAAGTGTTAGAGAGACTCTGTGAACAGAAAGAAGATAGTCAATGTGGAAAAATCATAGATTCTCACATAAACAAGAGAAGTTCTTCTGGAGTAAAACCTAGTGAACACCATGTGTGTGGAGATGTCCTCATTGCTGATCCATCCTTAGCTGTGCCCCTAACAGTTCACACTGGACACAAAGCACAAGAGTATCTGGAACATGGAAAGAAGCCATATAAATATAAGGAACATGGGAAAGCCTTACATGATCCCCAATGTTTTCAGAAGCATAAAAGAACTCACACAGGAGAGAAACCCCATGTGTGTAAGCACTGTGGAAAAGCCTTTAGTTCTACCAGCTACATTAAAATCCATGAACGAATTCACAGTGGAGAGAAACCTTAT